TGGGCCGTGCGCCACCCGTCCCGCCACCAGTCACAAAATGTCCTCGGGTCACCTGTGACTGCACCGGCTGGTCAATCCTGTCCGGAGCCGGGGCTTGGGCTGTCCCGGTCGGGCCTATGGGCCTTCGGGCCATACCTGATCCTGTTCTTCACGTCTCCCGCCAAGCTGCGCTTTCAGAACATTTGCTATATTTGGGATTTCGTCAGCCATCGTTCATCTGTTCGCGGTAACAGTCTGTCGGCAGTTCGTCTGCTGGCGGTACCGCTCCGTCGGCAGCTCGTCTTCTGGCGGTACCGCTCCGTCGGCAGCTCGTCTTCTGGCGGTACCGGTCTGTCGGCGGCTCGTCTGCTGGCGGTGCTGGTCTGTCGGCGATTCGTCTGACGTTCACCCGTTTTACCGTTTATTATGCTGTTCGCTCGGTTATTGTGTCGCTGTATGCAGTTGGTAGCAATATAGTCGCGCGGTTGGTAGCAATATAGTCGCGTGCTAAGGCACGGACGCCGTGCCGGGCCGGCGCCGATGCCCGACCTTGCCGGATCAGAGCCATGTGTCACGAGGCCTGATCACTTTGTCGATCTGGATCAGCACCGGCCCCAGACTCGGCGCTCTTTAGATGATCGCGCCATGGCTGTGTCCCCTGGATAACAAGCGCCAAGTAATTGTAATTTGTCTGCACAGCTGCCAGATCTATTATCACCAACTGGAGATTGGGCATGCGTATGCTACAGCAGCCCACTCTAGTCAGCTTGCCCCGATCCATCAGCTGATCTGTATTAGGACCGTGCACTGCTTGTTTTGCTCGCCGTGCATCCAACGCGCCGCCTTGACCGGGCCGGGACGAGGTGAGCCTCTCACCGGCGCGAGGTGAGCCTCTCACCGGCGCGAGGTGAGCCTCTTACCGGGACGAGGTGAGCCTCTCACCTCTCACCGACAGATGGCGTCTGGTCAGGGACGGTGACAGCCGGCCCTCGCCGTGTCCCCTGTCCAACGCCGGCAGGCCGACGGCGGACAGGCGCCGCCCGCGCCCACGGCCACGGCCACGGCCGGCCCGCGACGCAGCCTCCCGCAGAGCGAGGAGGACGCTGGGATGGGCGGGCTGCGCTCCTGGCTTGTCACGGCGCCGAAAAAGAACAGCGTGTAATTCAATAATGGCAGTCGTACGAGGATGAAAACCAGTACCTCAAGGCCTTTCTTGCTTACATCAAGATGAATGGTCTGCCACCGTGTCCGGACAGTGGTGATAAGCATGGCTGGCCAGGGTGGCACAGGGGCCGGGTGCTTCTAGAGTCATCGCGTCTGGCGTACGGGGGCGCAGCGTTCATGCCACCGTGCCTGTCGCAGCCGGCGCACAACGGCTTGAAGACTGGGGTGTTGAGTTGGAGAGGGCGGCGGTCAAAGGGCGGTATTCTTTTGGACGTCTTTAATGTTTCCTCGCTGCTTTGAGTGCATCCCGCACTCAGACAAACAAGGCGGGAGTCACGAGCTGCTGCCTCAGCACTCCGTTCGACGGTTGTTTCAGGTCAGTCAAGACTTGTGCGGCACTGGCTGGGCTGTATGACATGTCACTTGGGATTACTGCAGAAGAACGGATGAACAAGAAACGACCCCTGGACAGGCAATTCTTGCCTTCTTGACCTGTCGGGTCTTCTCGATGCTGTGGATTTGACACTAAGCGGGTATGGCGAGACCGTCCTGGCCGGGCTATGCAGGGCTGCCGGCTGCGTGGGTACCTGCTGTTGGAGCGGCCGGCCGTGGGTACCTGCTGTTGGAGCGGCCGGCCGTGGGCACCTGCTAATGGAGCGGCCGGCCGTGGGTGACTGCTGTCAGGCCGGCAGGAATCGGCATGTTCCATGCGCCCACCGCGGTGCTGAAGCCGGTGCCTGCTCGCCGACACGATGGGTGGCGCCTGCACTCTTTGAAGATTGCAGCACCCAGAGAGACCTCTAAAACCGCCGTGGTGGATTGAACGGGGGGTTGCAGCCGACGGCTCAGGCCATGCAAAACGCAATTATGCGCCGAATACCCCAACGTATGACATGCAACCGGCTTTTGGAATGCATGCTTGCCAGGCAATGTCTGAATTATGGGAAGACGTCCACATGCGTAGTGCAATAATGACGTGATGTAACCCGATCACACGGAAAATACCGGGTGCTTCCAAAAGCTACCTTGTCTTTTTGAAATACATTTAATGCTGATTTTTCGCCTTTATACCAATTCCAATACATCTGAAGACGGTCGTTCCAACAAAGTCGAGTAACGTTTTGACAGTCATCGATTGGGTGGTTAAACAGCCGGTTCGGCATTCCTGTCACAGACCTTTTGGAATTGTCATGCGTGTGCATGCATGAGACGTTTTCCATCCGGCACATTAAACAGAGTCTGGGTACTCTTACAAAGAAATAGAGCACCGGAAGAAACGATAAATAGTTCCAGCAAAACAACGTACCACCCTAAATCGGCAAAACACCGAAAATGGCTAAAAAACGGTTAAAAAAAGAAGGACGGTTCTTATATGTGGAGTGGTCGCCACATTCCTTAGACATGACTCGGCTGGATTTTTTCGATTCGGAAAAATTTCAGCGACGTATGTGCAGAAGCAAAACACCTATAGATGAATATGGCATGACTAAATTGAGAATGTCTGCAGCAGCCTGGGGTCGTGTGCTGAGAACTTGTGTGCGGTGCGTATCTGCATGATGCATGCAGAGATGACCAAGGCATTCGGGACACATTGGACCAGCTTGTCTAAAACTGTTCAAGCCAAGCTCAGGTCTTTAAGGCTTATCATGCGCAAACAATGTTTCAAACTTTCGAAGTGTTTAATCACTGCACATCGGGAGCCTTTTCATCTTCGCTCTTCAAGGGGGCACACAAGGCCCATCTATCATCTTGAAAACTAATGAAGCTAGAACCACGACGAAAATGGCACTGGAAAATGCTTATTAATATTCATTAGATAGAAGTGAGTGAACAGTAACGAATGTGACCTTTAATGGGCCACATCAGGTAATATGGGTCAGATTAGCCCTTTACAGACCCCCAGGTTATCTCAAGAACTATGCATGCTACTGCAATGCACATAATAACCTTAAATACCTTTCGAAAAGACCATGGGATGGGCACTAGTAGACATCGACACAAGTTACCTGCGATATGTCATTTCAGGTCAGAAGAGTGAAGTTATTGTCGCGTGGGCCCGTCCGTCTACATCAAAGAATACACAGACATATTAAGCATGTTGTTACACAGCAAACAAACATGCTGTTGACATCAGAAAGTGTCAAACGGACTGGGGAAAAAACATTGTAACTTGTACCCATAAGCAACAAATAATCCAGTTTATCGCAAAAATATGTTTGTGTGTGGTATCCACGTTTTTGAAGGCACTCGGTGCAGTTTGACATGAAACTTTTCCATCAGCGTGTTATGTACGAAATTCAAATATGCGTTGGTCTTGCGCACAAGTTTTCACTGCCGAAGCATGCTGTGATCATAAAGTTATCTTATACAATCAATCAAGACTTGAGTGTGGGCCACTAACGACGCTGCAAATTTCTGAATGCGATAGTCACTTCATCCTGTGTAGGCATCTGGTGTTGCTGCATCACAGCGCAGCTTAATTGAAAGCATGTTGACGATGTTAGTAACAACACTGTCTGTCACTGTCTTGTCTCATACGAGCGAGCCCGTGCTATTGTGCTGCACGCGCTCGACAAATACCGCAGAGGTGCGAGCGACAGCACTGTAAAACATTCCTTATACTGTATCATCAGACTGAGAACAATTATATCAAATGTACCATGTCTTTGTTTATGTAAGAACATTCATAAGATGTCCATAACATGCGTCCAAAAATCACTTAAGCCTTACCATACAAGGGCCTGAAGCCCCCGCCCCCCCCCCCCCACATTTCCCACAATAAAGCTTGAACGGTCTCAAGCAAAACACTGAAATTTTGGGGACTAGAGTTAAGGCCATTCGTTGACATGTTCAGAAAATTTGAAGTCTGAAAAAGAACCGGTACTTCCTGCTATATGGAAGGTCGATAAATCTGTAGAACAGCTCTGAACTCACAATGTCCAAAAGCCAAGAGCTGATGGCCTGCATTTCCCATCTTAACTACCAGATCGCCCCAGGTCATATTTGCGTTACCTTGCACTCCTAACCGGTGTGACCTTGGAATTAAGTACATTTGATGTATTTGTTGTACCGCGCCCTCCATAATTCGCATGCAAGTCCGACCCAAAATGACTCGGTTCATCATTTGATTCATAGAACACTGCCACCTAGCGTAGTTTTGTACGTCGATTTTAAACTTGAATGTTATGACCATCTTAAAAGTTCCTGGTCTTCTTGACCTTCTAATGTTCAAATTAGGCTACTGACCGTATTTAAACACCATTGACCTCTTGTTCAGAAAAAAAGCATCAAAGTTAAGGTTGGTCGCGTGGGAAGGTCTTAGGGTACTTCAGACGCCGAGCTGTAGGTTGACCTTGTTAACCTTATTTAGCCCGAAAATAGCACCCTAGAGACCTAAATATGCGCTGCAGATGAGTTCAGAGAGAGCCCTACATACCCAGCAAAATGGTCGTTTCTAGCCCGCTCAGTTTTTTTTTTATTTCAGAGGTGTCGACTGCCCGTCCACCCGAGTGAGCCGCATTCCACTGACCACCTGGGTGTCATCTTGTGTCATCACCACAATGCTACAAATGCGCCCTTTGGTGTCTGATATCCGTCTGCCCCATGCGCACAAAACTTACTTCATACTTCTCGTTAGCACAGTTTGAACAAGTTGACTTCTGACTCCTACGTAACCATCTCAACGGTGCACGCGTGAGCTTTTCACGGTCGAACTGACATGTTACACACAGATGACACGAGGTACGGCATACTTTTGCTTGTACCGTTAACAATTTCAACTAATGCTCCCTGCGGCTCACGGAAGGCACGACATTGGGAGCAAGCCTGCTGAGTCCAGTCACTGGACACAGACATACCTGGCATTCGTAAGTCCCATTATCATCCGCTTGGACGAAGCGGATCTGCAGAGTCCAATCGCTTGACTCAGGATCATGCAGAACCTGGAACCGCTGGTCCGTGATATAGTTCGCCTTGCCGCCAGTAAGTATATGGTAATCCCTCCTCCGAATCCAAACCTGGAACACATGAGTGCTGCTGAGACGAGTGTTACAGCTAACGCCTCACTGTGCGAAAAAAACTTTCCACAGGCGGTCAGATAGATGTCACCCGGTGTCTATGCAGTTTGTGTACCACCCACAGCCTCGAGTCTACCCGCTATTTCATTTTGGATCGTTAAGACTAGGCAGCAATACAAAACCGTTCATATTTCGGCTGCGCGCTTAGTTTTAATTTGGTAAGGAAAGATACACCATGCATATAACGGATGTGGAAATATCAACACAGATATTCGTAAAATTTCGCCACCGAACGCTTCTGTGTTAGACTCGCCTGGTCTGTCCCAAGGCCACGCGAGGGCAGAATAAGGTAACGTGATGAGGCAATGAAACAATGAAGGCAAAAAAGAGGAATGCCTTGGATTTATCATTGTTGAGTCCCGCCATAACACCCCCGCCCCCAAAAAAGGCCAACTGTGGGTTTAACAGGGCAAGAATGAGGTTAAAAATAAGCGCCACGCATTAAATTGTCTCCTTCATTTCCTACGAATTGTTCACTCCCAGGTGCATATCAAACACGTTTGGGCGGCTAGAGAGTTAATCCAGTTTATGTATGAAATATTTGCAGGCCTGCAGTTGCAGTGTTGAAGAAATATTGGTTGAAATTTTAATCCATAGATAGTATTATTCAAAATAATCGGAAAGGGAGGAAAACTGAGGTTGTTTCACACTCGTATAAGAACAGAAATAAGTACTTAAATATAAAAACCTAGAGCCTTTTGGTGCAATATTGTAACCAACTCATTTTACAACAAAAATATATGACAATAAGCGGCCAAGTGGTGATATCCGGGTTTTGGATTTAGATACATTAGGCACTTAGAAGACATATCTTGAATTTTTCACGCCTACACTTCGGGAGTGGTGGAATTTAGTGGTCAAAATTTTTCGGGTTGAAGAAGTACGTGGAGTAAAATTCTCTACCGGGTTTTGCTGGTGTTCGTATCATGCTTTACTTTGCTGGTGTTATGGTTGCGTGTCGTGACCCCCAAAATGGGATGCGTTTGGCATTTGGCACACAGTTGCAGATTGCAATGCATTTTGTGAACAAATCAAACTTAATGCATTCAAGCGGCTGAGTCGCCCAGCTCTCGGGCTTAAATAGACCTGGTTTCCTTGCTCTGTGCATACATGGGCTTTATTCGGATGTATGTAAGGCAGAACATAGCCATAAGTGTTGAGATTCTGTGGAGCCTTGCTTATTCTTGATGGTTTCAGATGAGCTCGGTTTCAGATGACATCTTAAAATATCGGAGAGAGAAATATGGGTCCGGCATGTGTGGTTAGACAAGATCAGGCAGGATTGAAAAAAATCACATGAAATATTGGGGAGCGGAGCGAAGAAAACGGTTCATAAGGCGTTGCTTTACACTCAAAGTCGACAATTCTAGGAGATGGTGTGGCACAGGCTTCGAGTGATGTGGTCATGAAGCTCTACTGCCCGTGGTTAAATGGCGTGGCACACGTTTCGAGTGATGCGGTCGTGAAGCTCTACTGCCCGTGGTTAAATGGCGTGACACACGCTTCGAGTGATGCGGTCGTGAAGCTCTACTGCCCGTGCTTAAATGGTGTCACTGACGCACTGGATAGCGCTTGGGACAGTGCACACGGCGCGAGATTCTACTAGTTCTGTTGCAGGCATCCAGCCGAGTTTATCTGTTTCTTTCACAGGATCCAGATCAAGTATGTCTAACATCGGAGATGTGGTGGCGACGTCTTTGACCGCGGACAACTCTGGCGCGAAAGCTACTAATTATACGCACTCACTGTATTTGAGGAACAACGCACGAGTCACATTCACACGTTCATGCAGTAACGGACAATAGAAAGCATCTAATCTTGTAAGATTATTGCCAACGCATCAGCAGTTGAAGCGTGCCGGGCGTGGTCAAGAGCGCTCAGGATGCTTGTTCGTTTTGTAATGGTGAGATCGTGTATGCTTGGTAATGGAGATGGTGCTTCATGTGGATGTCTAAATTATTGACATCTTTCACTACAGCCCACAAAAATATATCATGACACGGTAAGGCTTCCCAACGTTGCTAGGGTGCCACCTACCAGCATTTGATCGCTTGCATTGTTGACCTTCGTTCCGAATATTAAGCTGTTTCCGTAAGACTAAAAGTGTTTGTATATGACACTCTTTACCTGCGACCAAAAGTTGAGGCTTGGTTCGTTCTCAAACAGCAGGTGTGACATGCAACTGAGGCTCTCTCTTTGAAATATTCCGATTTTAATTTGCTTCGGCCGAAACAATATGCTTGAACCATCACCATACTCACTATCACCACCCCCCATTTGCACCTGCTGATTTCTTCCCGTCAAAAAATCAGTGATTCAGTTGGTATAAACACCATACAGCCTGTGAGACGAAACCATCGAAACAATATGGTGCGAAACAGCCATCAAAATGTCATGGTGTGAAACAGCCATCAAAACAACATGGTGCGAGCAAGCTGTGTAAAGTGTGGCAGTGAGATACCCACATTATAGTACACAGAGCGCGCGTTACAGGTGCTACAGGCGCGTTAGGTGAATAAAGGCCGTGAAATGTGAATAGCAGTAGGAATAATAGGATCGGTTAGCATGATCGCAAAAATTGCCACCTTCTTATGCAGGTTGCAATTTCTTGGTTGCAAAAGCTCTGACCCTTATTTTGAGGGCTGTGGCCCTACACGGGCTAGTGTTTAAGTATCCCCTGCTAAAGTCTGCAAAAATGTACCTTCATTGCTGTTCTGAGTTATGTTTTTAAGATATTAGATGACATTTTTAGAGTGAAACAGCATATCTTTTCTTTGGATCATCCATTACAATAGGGGTGTGAGCTCAACAGTAAGTGTTGTTGGGACTGATCTGTTTCCGTCTTGCCGTACCTCTGTGTGTGTGTGTGTGTGTGTGTGTGTGTGTGTGTGTGTGTGTGTGTGTGTGTGTGTGTGTGAGTGTGCGTGTGCGTGTGCGTGTGCGTGTGCGTGTGCGTGTGCGTGTGCGTGTGCGTGTGCGTGTGCGTGTGCGTGTGCGTGTGCGTGTGCGTGTGCGTGTGCGTGTGCGTGTGCGTGTGCGTGTGCGTGTGCGTGTGCGTGTGCGTGTGCGTGTGCGTGTGCGTGTGCGTGTGCGTGTGCGTGTGTGTGTGTGTGTGTGTGTGTGTGTGTGTGTGTGTGTGTGTGTGTGTGTGTGTGTGTACATCACTTGCCATTTATGAAACGAAATAAATGGTAGGCCTGGGAAACAGCAGAGTTGATTCGTGATAAATTACAACACGCTCATTCCCGTTATGTAACATGGAGACATCACAATTACATTATGATCCTCGCCAACGATACGAAGAGCCAATATGCAAAAAGCCTATCATACTCCGCAAAACACACTTGTAATATGACACCACAATTGCATTGGTGACGCACGTTGTGTAGCAGTAATAACATTACCATTTGTTTACCAGTTTTTTTTGGTGCTGATTCCACGAAAGTATGCTGCTAATGCTGTGTCCCAATATACTCACAAACTTGCGTTTGATATGCACAGGAAACACACCACCAACGCTTCGCGACTCACTGAACATTGAGCGTGCATGCATATGAGCTTACAAATGCTCGCTCATCCACAGACAGGCACGTGGTGATTCAGCTTATTTGAAAATCACTTTTGCCCCGAGATGCATCAGTCAGCTAGCCCGCCAATCTCACTTAAACATGCCATCGTTTTCATATTCATACACGGATATTAGTCACAATACACTAAACTGATTGGTATAAAAGTGTAAAACACTAAAATCTAAGCACCACTTGGTATACAGCCTTTTGTACTTAGCTTGCGCTTGGTGGAAATCAACGATATTTGCTACAAGCGCCACTCATTTTCGCACAACCTCAGGGTGGGGAAGCACAACGCACAGTTCCGTGCTGCCGCTCTTGGTTGTCTGCAGGTTGTTTGAATTCTTTAAAAGGTGGGATATTGGGATTTGGTGTGCATAGGCCAGGTTCACATTCAGTCCTTCGCATCTTTCACGACACTTAATATTTAAAATAAAATGTTAACCAACTGAAATAGCATTAAGATGTACCATAAGCTGTGATGAGAAAACTTGACAGTGAATCAAGTGCATAACAGCGTGGTGAATGCGTCAAGGATTTATTGCACCGCACCTTTCAATAAATGTATCCCCAAGGTGTACGTAGATCTGTAAAGCATGCTTGGCTTGACACTGCCATTAGAGCCTCCAGATTGTGATGTGTTGGCAAGGTATAGCAGTCATCACTCGTCCTTAAAGTTCGTATTACATTATTTTCACACGAACGACGTCTGACCCACCACTCAACCAATGCTACGATCCACATGAGCATCGTTACAGTGCTGAGTTCTCTGCATCGCCGCAGGGAACGTGCTGAGTGTTGACTGCAATCAGTTGTTGCGTGTGTGATGCTGACGTAGAGGCAGACAAGGGATAATTCTGCGGTCAAAGCGTTGAATAGGTGTGATTTCATGTGCGCCCTACGGCAAACTGTTCGATTTGAAGCTTGGCTAACAAAAACCATTGTTTTTAATGATGCTCTTGCATCCTAAGTGGTTGTGCTGTGTTTTGTTTGCAAGTGCTTGGCACTTGATAAGTCACCGCTTGCCTGGGGGCCACCCCGCGACTATGAATTTATTATAGAAATATGATGATGTAATGCATGATAAAATGAAGCGTCTATGAAAAATGATTGCATATGATATTTAATCTTAAAAGTTTGCATTTGCTGTGCTGTGGGCAAGTTCATAGCATTTGCCGTGGGCAAGTTAATTTATAGCCTCATACCCGATGCGTGTCGTCGAGACGCTTCGCTCAAGCCTGTCTGTTTTGATCAGCCCGCACCAGAACGCTGTGCACTGGGTGTTACGGTATGTGAGTCGCAATTAGTGATGATTTAGGCTTCTTTCATTGGTAGTCTTGCCCGATTCGGAGCATTGTCTGCCGTTTCCGCGCCCCTGCCTTTAACAGTTTCCGAACGCTATAAACCTCGGCACTGCTCGCTTGTTACCATGAGTGCTGCTGGAAACGTCGTTTACTGCTTCACGCTTTTTCACAATAATTGTTTACAGCCATGATTAAGCAGCACCCTCCTGCAGATCGAAGCTCATTAATTATTTTGGGCGTAACAAATTGGAATGGTGGGCATTTCGACTATTACCGGTCACCGGGCTGACAGTCAATCGCTGCTGCCGGTCATTGATTGGCTGAATGGTGGGCATTTCCATCACTACCGGCCGCCGGGCTGGCTGTCAACCGGCTGCTGCCGGTCACCGATTGGCTGGATGAGACGTCAGGCCCGGTGTGAGCCAACCAAGTCGGATATTTTCTTGATCCAAAAGGTGATGCTTCCGACTCTTGACAACATGTGGTATGAACATGTCCAACACATTTGGCGTCGCAGTGATAATTCCGCACGTGTCTGAGCAAAGCGCATTATTGGGGACTACGTCAGATCAATACATGAATACATGGACGGAACATGCGTTCGGGAAATGTGGCGACACGTCATTTGTTGACATCTCTGTGCTTTCTATAAATTCCCACGGGTATCACACTACCTCTCCACATATTTTGTAACAGACGTACAATGTAAGTTTGCCAGCAGCATGCAGAGATCTAACTTATTCCAGTTCTGATCTCAAAGCATGATGCAAAGTTTACTGGCGTTAGTAATGCGACATCAAAACAAAATACTGAAACGGGCCGGTCTTTAATACTTTCTGTAACTGAGACAGTTGGTAAATAACCATGGAGAAGGTAGATAGTGCAATCCTACAAAATTTTCAATACTCGGATGATAACTGACCGATACGATATGTGTAATAGCTTGGCTAGGTATCTTACGTTTTACGATATGTTTCACATGCATTGCTACCTTACCCATGGTTTGTGACACCAGCAATATGTCGGTAAGCAATGACTTGGTTATTCCCTCTCATACTGTTGCCATTATCTGAAGTATTCAACTGTCGTAGGAGTAATCCACTCAGAAACATGATTACCTTCATAGTCTAGGAAACCTTTCATTGCTCAAATTACCATAACTGAGACAAACATCTTTGTAAGATACATACACCTTAAATGGTACTCTTGTAATGAATGTAATAAATTCAGTGATCGTAGTTTGTAATTTAATCTATTTTCAACTCCTCTAATTCGTGAGGTCAGAAACATTCTGAAATCCCGTCTCATTCAAGGGAACGCGACGCACGTCGTCAGTTCCCTTTTATGGAGTAGCAGCGACTGGATTGGTCATGCTACCACTCGGGGGCCATTGCGCTTAGAGTCCGTCCCCGTCCCATTCCGTGGGCTGTCAACAATTTTCTTTACGGTCCAACCCGCTCCGCGGATGGATCCAACCCGTCAAGTGCTCTGGTGACTTTTTCGCGAGTGTGTATATACGTTTATCTGTGTATGCATGCTTGTATGTATAGTTTATATACGTATATATTATGTATGTATGTGTGTGCTACGTATGTATATATGCATTGTGCACGTCTGCATACGTGAATGTGTGTACTCATGCATGTAAACAGGTAATCATGTATGCATGTGCGCATCGGGGTTCCTGGCACTGTAGTCACTGTGTAAGCTGTCACCGCAGTTGGCTTCAAACGGCTCACGCTGCACGTACCGGACTCTCTCCGCCAACTGCCGACGAGCACGACAGGAAGGCCGTGTCGCCGACCTGGACGGTGACGTTCTCCATGGCACCATTCTGATCAGCCATCGCCGGCTTCAGCAGGTCTCCCCAGTCCTGCTTGTCACCCGACACATTGAAGCTGAAGGCTTGGCTCAGCAGAACTGAAACAGGTCATTACGTCAAGAGAGTAGGTGTTGTCCTTGTGTCTAGCACTTCATTCACGCTGGCGAGGGATGGATTCCTCATAAAATATCGGCAGCTTGTAACCTGAGCCGGGAAAGCACTTGAAAACTCGCTTGGCAGCCGCTCCAAAACTGCAGAATCTGAAATCTGCAAAGAAAAAAAGATCAGGGTGTGGTCGTTCAATCAAGGGAATCAAACTGTCTGACCTATGGTATCCTTCTTATGGTTGCTGATCTGTAGCAGGTCAGTCAGAGCAGGATTGTTAACGAAACCCCTTCAAAGACATTCTTTCAAGCTGGTGTAAAAACGGAGTGGTGGGTGATATAGAACTTATGGATAGCGTCGTATACCATAAGGCCTACCACTAATTCCATTGATCTTCGAGCGGGTACGCAGGTCATTTCAATGTCAAAACCGTGCCGTCCAAAAGGAATCAGGTTAAAAATGCCGTCAGTCCCGGAAAGCTTAGTTGAAAAGAATACATGTCTTACCATCTACGCATCCGTGGCGGGGTGGGTTCAAGCCGTTTTAGGTGTTCGCTATCTGTCCTTGACAAGCCTCCGGCCGGTGGCAAGACCCGCGGTTAAGGTCGGAAGACGTCAGAGGGCAGGACAAAGCGTGCCGAACATTGAAGTACGTTAAACTTTCTTCACCAAATTCTGCCGTTGACCTGGAATGGCACAATCGAATGGCATAGGCGTGGGCCCCACACAACAAACACTGCTTCGCGTGGGCTCTGATCCTCGAAATCTACCCTTTCAAATGTTTCGAATTAAATCTTTTAGAAAGCAATCTCTTCCACCGCTTGTTTCAATGGGAGTCGTTGATTACAGACGCGCATGATGGGCAGCGCGATACCTATCCCCTGAAATTCGAACCCATTTGGCCATGCCTATGGCCATGGATTCGGTCCGTTCACAAGGTCTGCTGCAGTGTCGCCTGCAATGGTGCATCTGCTGTCTCCACCGCTGCAAGGCCGAATCCTGTTAGAGCCAATGCCTTCACTCTGCAAAGGCTCCCTGGCTGTCAGAAGCTTGCTCGTTGTCAGATGCCTGTTAGCTGTAAGAGGTTCGCTGCCTGCCGGGGGTTCACTGGCTGTCCGGAATTCGCTGTCTGTCGGGGGTTCGCTGGCTGTCCGGGGTTCGCTGTCTGTAGGAGGCTCGCTGGCTGTCCGCGATTCGCCGGCTGTCGGAGGCTCGCTGGCTGTCGGGGTTCGCCGGCTGTCGGAGGCTCGCTGGCTGTCGGGGTTCGCCGGCTGTGGGGGGAGGGGATTTGCTGCCTGTCGGAGGCTCACTGGCTGTCGGGGTTCGCCGGCTGTCGGAGGCTCGCTGGCTGTCGGGGGTTCACCGGCTGTCGGAGGCTCGCTGGCTGTCGGGGGTTCGTCGACTCTCGCTGCCCTCGGTTCGCGCCGTCGGATTAACAGCTGACGTGTCGGCAGCACAAGTCATTGCAATGTCGTAAAATTCGGAATGGGCAGTGCCCTTTTTCGAACGGGTGGCTTTTTATTCTGTAATATTTCCACAGAGCCTTAGCTTACATGAACTCAGTCTCAAAGAAATACCAAATAATGCATACGCATGCATGACACTGCGTTATGCCATAGCGAGGTGATAGGAAATGCACAAAAATGGAAACATATGCGAGACCCAGTATTTCTAGAGCTCAAAAGATGCTGTTGTGGAATTTTTGCCTGATTGTAGAAGCACCAAACAGCAAACGGGAAAACGTTTCTGGGAAGTCGCAACTCATCGCATTTTGACCGGCACGGCTAACCCTAATCACCAACGCCAATTCAACGTGTCGAACTGCACCTCCAAATATGATAAGGGACGCCGACAGCCTTGGCACGTACAGCAGTATATAACTCTGGTGAAAATACTGGGCGCGACTATAACTGTTATGGGATTTGTAAAAGGTGGGTTTGACTAATTCAGCTTCTCTGATCGCGTAGGCGTCTGGCTATTTATCTTTGCGACCGTTGTCTTGTATCTACACAAACTTGTTTGTCGAAAACCTGTTTATAAAGCCATTAGGTCCAATCAACATGCTTGGGCGTTCACCAGCATATAAACATCTAAACGAATAAGAAATGCGCATAAACCATAGTTTGAGAAGCCGGGAGCTAAAAGCTGTCGGAACTGAAGGCGTACAAGCGTATTTCGTAGAAAAATGACAACATGACCATCGCGCTGTACTACGCATGAATAAATATTTTCACCCAGAAAGCGATTCTGACTCGCTCTCATTCGGGATATCCAGATTATTTCTCACTTCTCTGGTTGGGTGATGCTAAGATCCGCTCCGAAAACAAAACATTGTGGTTTGCATTCCCAACCGGCCTCGGACCGTTTTTGGTTTGGTCGTTTACCCGTTTACAAGTATTTCCGTTTACAAGTGTTTACACGTTTACAAGTATTTTTATCAAAGCCGTTTACAAGTATTTCCCTAAGCCGCGTGTCCGTTGCATTCCCAAAGCCGCCTATCGCGATAACGCATCGAATATGATTTCTCCAACCAAATCACAAAAAGATCCACCAAGAAATGGCCAATGTCAGTGGCTCGATCAGAAAACTTGGGAAACCCCATAAACGTTCGAAGCCGATTGGAAGAAGTTTAGTATCCCAACTTTTCCCCAAACTTCAGGAGTGAAGCAAGCTTTTAATTTACCGAATATGATCGGTGACAAAAACGGACACTTCTAAGAGCCAACTGGTGACAAAACTGCAAAAATGCAAACAAACTACAACAAACCAAACCATATTACAACAGACCATCCCAGCTAGACGAAACTCAAAGCCTAGTATTCGTCTGCACTTGCTAACGCTTGCAGTGTAAGCATATGTATTGCACATGTCAAAACGTTGTCGTTTTGCTGTATGAGCAGGTTGAGCTTTAAACACAGAAGCTTTAATAAATACATTTTTTAACAGGCGACGGAAGTATAATATAACCTAGACCTTATCATTGCTAACGCCAGAGATCAGTAGTGACAGAGTGTTTTTCCATTGCCCTTGAGATCAGTGCTTTTCACAGTTTTGTTTTTAGCCAAGATTCACTTCACATACTAACAGCATAGCATAACAAATAACCAGGCTTTTTGCTAGTCGTAATAATCGTGGATGGCCACAACACTTGCAACAAACGTGATCAGTTAACGACGTAGCGTTTTAAAGGGTCGTCCCATTTGAGACAGATGAGCTTGAAAGCTCACTACACGGTAATGAATCGGGCTCAGTGCAAGGTTGTGGATTGCCGCTGATTGCGTTCATGTCTTGGTAACCTGACTGGCTTGAAGACCGTAACTAATCGTCAGCTTTTTTAAGATGCTGCATGCTTGTTCTAGGGATCCACCTTGGAGGGCGTCTCTAGTCATAGCGTTATAGCGTTATAAGCCTGCCGATCTAGGAGGCTTGTTGTTGGTGGATAAATGAACTGTAGCTTCAGAGGTAAACGGAAGCTGTTAGAACGACACCTGCCAAATATTCGTCCATGGCTTCCTGTTGCTGAGAGGAACAGCGTCTTTGAGGCAAGAGGCCGAGCATCGCTGCCGTATGGCTTTCAAACTGCCCGTGGCATCTCAGACCTCGCACTTATTGGTGGACAGCTATGAGATAAAACTCTTTTAATTGTCATACTCTTACATATAAAGCTAAATGATGGTGCCAGAGGTGGTCAAAAATTTTGTTTGCACGTGTTAATACCAATATCGCATTGATTTCGTCGTAAGGAATCGGGATTATGTTAGTAAGCGCGAGTTCTGCACCAGTACTGACAAACACGAGCTTGTGTGGCGGGTCGAATAACCTTCTCTCCAGTGAAGGTTATGGTCTCATGGTCCGGTTGACTCCGCCCCCCTGAGGTCTCCGAAACTAATAGAGATAGAAACACCATATTCTCAGGGTATGTGAGTCTGTATATGAAATCACTTAAGTCATAATTTGAAGTCATGAACTTTTGATCAAATAAGGCCAACCAAGGTTAAACTCCAGACTGGTGTCTAAAGTGACCCAGAACTTAGATATCTGTACTAAGTAAAAAATCACCGATGCTCATTTAACGCGCGCCCGAGTGGCCTGTTAGATACCCTTTGCTCGGGTGGGAATCGATTTAACCTCTTCCCTGAGATAACAAGAACTAAGAGGGCTAGAGACACCAAATTTCACAGGATGTATTGACCTGTACGTAAACTCACTGGAATCAAAGTTTGAGCCTCCTAGGTTATGACCTTTGGTTCAAATAAGGTCAATCAAGGTCAAACTCCAAGTTGGTCTTTTGAAGGTTAGAAAAGGTGGACAAACTGTTTGACCTTCAAAAATATGGTGACCAAAATAATAGAAGACTGCTTTGAGCTTCGTATTCGAATAAGCGACAAGGATTAAGCTAGGCAGCATGTTCCTAAAAAAGAAATGCTGACCTAGGTCATTTTAGGTCAGAGATATATTCTGACATTTAAGAAGTCCAAGGAGGATGTCTTAAGCGGTTGCTGTTATCAATACATTTGAAAGAGCACCAGAAAGTCCCATATACAGCAAGCTCCAGAGCAATGAAATGATGAAATTTGTTGATTTTGGCGTTGTTCTGACCTTTAGATCTGACCTTAGGTCAATAGACTTGGTGTATTCAATTATCATGTTGTCTAAGAAACTATCTTAGTACTTCTATGACTGAGCAACTATCTCGGAAATGCATGACTTCGTCTAACACTCCGCTGCCTCAGCAGATTAAACAATTCCCTAGAAATTGTCCTTACTGAACCCATGACCTGATGTTGACCTGCCGTAGGTCAACAACGTTACAGGTTACATCTTATTTCGTGATATAAAACGATCCGCTATTTATTTGTCTACAACTATGCAGCTACGGCGCGCCGGTCAGAAACCGTTTCGAAGAAACCTTTGGGGAGGTCAAATTGACCCCCACCAAAGCGCGTGTTACGCGAAGATAATGAAGGTAGGCGCCGCTCCCAGCTGACTGTACG